TGAATGAAGGCAAGAGATAGGAAAAGGAATATTGTGGAACTGTCTTGCTTCAAGGTTGTATATGGTGAGATTTTTGGACTTCTGCGTAAACATAAGAAGTATATAATTCTTTATGCCTATTTTTAAAATATATTCTAATTTTTAAATGTTTTTTCATCATATTCTGTAGGGACTTAAAGTTCAACATATCAATACTTGATGAAAAATCATTTTTCTTTACTTCTTCATTATCTCAAGTTTTTCCATGGCCTCTTTAAATAGGACAGAGCTAGACATGCTAGAATAATAAAAGCCTGGCCTACATTGAGTGTAGGGGAAGGATTGTACCCCACTTCTGTACAACTTCTGTCCATCCTGCTAAAGTGAGTCCCCCATAAATGGACATCTGGGTGAGGAATTTGCTCTTTGGTTAGAGAGAATGAGGCACTTGTGCTTGTTCACTGCCACAAGAGAGAGAGAGAAAGTTAACTTAGCACCTTGACAACAAATGAAGTCTGGAATCATTTATTATTTAAATGCGTGTTTTGAGCATTCCATATGCCAAACTAATAGGGAATCCAGGAGCTCCCTGTCACGTATTCCCTAGTCTCTGCAGTTGGTAGTGACCCTCAGAGGCTTGCTAGGTCCTGGGGGGGGTCTCAGTGAAGGGAATGGTACTGTAGCCTGAAGTTCTGGTTCATGGGCAACTTTATGCCCCAGATGTACTTCCAAGTGCTAGGCGAGCATCTATATTTTCTGTATCAAAGTGAGTCTAATGAGACTAGGATGTAGGACAGTGGGTGAAACTGTACTTAGCATGATCCAAGGCTCTGGGTTGAATCTCCAGCACTCTGTATGTGTGTATGTGTGCGTACACACACACACACACACACACACACACACACACGGCCTCTTATAGCCCCAGTTCTCTGTAACCATATTCTTCTAGTTCTTAGGCAACTATATGCATCATTTATGCACCTGAGCTATAAACCTAAAGATTATCTTTCCTTGATTCTTCTGTGTCACCATCTTCACTCCATCACCCCAGTAGATAATTATAAAGACTATTCAATTAAAGTTCTCCAGTGTCTGAATTCCATATTCTCTTTCCATTCCCATCCCTAAGTCCTGGTAAAGAGTATCTGTCATCATTGTGTAAGCTTTACCAATAATATTCTACTGGACTTCTCTCTCTATAGCAGATTCATCATAATTTCACCAGAACTGTTTCATTAAAGAACATATCTGATTATTTCTTTTCCTTCTACTAAAAGAGATAATGAAGTTGAGTTAACCAGCATAATATCCTATTGTTTCCAGCATAAAATTCAGCCTTAACTGGAACATAAAGTCCTTAATGGGACAATGGCTTCACTAACATCTCAACTTTATCACCTGCACAGCCCCTGTGAATCCTGAGCTTCTGACACACAGAGCTACTATTCAAGAGGAAGGGTGGAAGGTCCATAGCTCTCTGAGCTCCTTCCTGAGGCAAGAAAAGTGAAATATTAAGGGTCATAGGAAAGCCTGTATTCACTCACAAGTTCACTCTCTGCCACATTCACATCATCCTTGGGGCAGGATGATAAATACCACATGTAAGTGAAGCAGTGTCCTCTGGGAAGAGCTGGGCTGTAACCCTAGTAAGGTAGCAGAAGTGTCACCTTTGCTATCTTAGTACCTTACTAGTTCTCAGGACTGAATAGAATCAGAATCAGTACGTTCTGCATAAGCAGGACCATTTTTCAGAGCATCAAATCCATGTAAAAGGATTTGTGTAAAAGATGTTGAGAGATTTGAAGAGGAGTGCTTATAAGTTTGTGTCCACTGACCTTTGTACTTTTGGAACTTTGGCGGTGTTCCATAAGACATTTGTTGAATACTTTATTTCTGGTACCTTTTCACTCCTTTCTATCAACAGATTGTTTACTACTTGGGTATTGCATTTAATTCTTTTGAATTTCATTAAGTTTGTTGATAAGCCAGTTCTTTTATACTTACTTGATGTGGAGGACCACCTGAGTAGCTCTCCTTGAAAGAAGAGCAACTGT